TCCATATGTCCGCCGGTTCCTCAGTCCATGACCATGGTTTTCGGATTCCGCAACCAAGTGTAGGTGAAGCTAGATCAGTTGATTTTTAATAAATCAGCTTATGAGAGCAAGGAGATTTTTCGATCCCTTGCCGCCACTTTCATGCAAGACATTTTGCATTTCGATGATAAGAGAACCATCTGTTCGTACGTGAAGGTAAATGTGAAATTTCCGTCGTCTTTTCACAAGATTAAAATGTTGGAGTTGACCGTAGTTCATCGCACATATTGTTCCCCAGAGCAATCATAGTGGCGTCTGCGCACCATATTGACATAAATACACGAAACTAATGGCTATGTTATAATACACTTTTCCCAAATATTATTTAAAATATCAGGATTATTCCCTCGTTCCAGCGAAAGGTGAAGACTCGACATAAAATCTAGAGTGTTATCGACCTAAAAAACTCCACTTACGAAAATATCAATAGGATCCTCCAAATTTTCACAACTGCTAAACCGCAATCCATAGGCCAACTGCTTTCCGTATTAGCTTTTTATTTAAAGTGTATTACTTGTCTACTTCTAGGTCCTAATTAAACCTGACTTGTTGGACTCGCGAGTCTATGAGTTGCTCTTTTCAATCGATGATAAATCTTCAAAGCACTTATTTAAGTGAACCAGACTCCTAAGAAATCACAGATTACTACCAACACTAGACGACTGAACGCTGAATGACTGTATTCCAGCCTAAAATCATGCCACTAATAAGTGTTTTTTTAAATATTGCAGTGATTACGGTATTGGTCCAAGTTAATGGCCGATTACCGAGTCAGTTTTTGATAGACATACTTATGCCGCGTATAATAGTCTGTAATTGGAAACAACATGCAATTTGTTTTTTATAAGCCATTGTGAGGACCAGAGCATTCGGATCACTGCATCTGACCCGCCTAGCTGAGATACCAATGCATTTTTTTCTGTCCGGGGAAAGTTAGCAGACCAATTCATTTTCTTCGTATTCGAGTAATGGATTGCAATGTTAATATTTCAGATTGATGCAGTGCCTCGAGTGGAGACCTTCAGCCTTTTTCCTTACTTTACGTTAAAAGTGCGCCTAGCTATTTTGGCAAATATTACCTGAGATGCCAGACGTTTCTGTAAATACCCCTCAAACTACACCTTTAAGGATGTTTTTGCCTTCATTCATGGTTCTCTTAAGAGTTGATGTTAATGGTTTCGTCGTTTCGTCCACAGCAACTTAAGGCATTTAACGCAATTCTTTAAAACTATTCACCTAATTGTTTTTGTAGATTAGTTCACTAGCTTGGTTAAAATACTTCTTTCTAAATCGATAGAAATTTATCGAGCCAGGAACACCCGCTTTCGTATTTTATACATAATAGTCTGTATTATAGAATTATGTACTCCTTTTAACTATCACTTGTTCCGTTACACCATTTCTGTTAATTAATTTCAGACACCTTTTGATTGAAATCCACGTCCCCTTACGTCGCCCCTTCTACTCATGAACATATGAATTAACTGTTCGTTTGGCCTTATAACCAACCATGCAGCCCCTTTATTCAGTATCGCCAGACAAATATAGGTAAGTGAGACCTTCATTCCCGCTAAGTTATCCTACTCAGTGAAAAAAATCTAATAAATAGCGTCCGTGACATATTTTCGGATTGCTTTCCCACCACGGTTCCTGGAGCCGCAGGTGAGGCTGCAGAGGAGCTCGTAACGTGGGCAAAATTCGAAACCCTACGCCTAACTCCCAAGTCTGTTCACAATGAAACCCTTGTCCTCTTACTGGGAACGAACCGGGGCATGTCCATTTGGTCATTTGCTGTGAGTTTTTATTCCCTAATTCTCATTTTCTTTAGCATAATGGCGTTGCCTCGCTTCTGTATGCTCGCATAAGCCCTTTCATTATCTCCGCAAAACTGCTTCCGGAGCCATCAAGTAAGATTTTTTTCATGCGACTCTAAATCATGCTTCGCAGACTGCCTAGTTGACTACTTTGACGAGGCACGCCCTCTCATCGCCACCTCTCAGGAACAAGCGTACGTTGAAACTGTAAATTCCGAATCTCTTCTTCTAGTCACTGTAAATGGGTAATTCACTTTGCTTCACTGGCTACGGGTGCCACGGAAGTATGCTATGCTACAAATTCCTGTGTCTCTTCCTTAGAGGCCAACCAGAGGTATGCCCTTTTGTCGTCTTACGTCTTCTTTTAGATTTGTTTTGGTCTGTCGTGTAGATTCAATCACGGTTCTCTCAGCGCACACTTTGCTTGAGCTGTTTACCGTAGGAAGTAAGTAAACTCACACGTGTGCTGTGTCTGTGCTCTTCTCTGCTCGTATTCTTTACTTATCCTGCCTATAACGGATGTTATTGCAAGTGAATACTTATCGAAGAGTCCTGCACGTACATCTATGGGGACTGCCTACTTTTCAGCTATAAAACAGCCCCATTTCTCGCAAATTGTCCTTCTCATTGAAGATATATTAAACTGTGCTCTGACTTTATTTTTAAATATTTCAAAAAGGCCCTTTCCCATATCACCCAGCCCACTTCCTCTTCGTCCAGCCGCCAGTCATGTCACTAACGCATTTTCATGATTCCTCAGTCAAGTCTAGCATAAACGAAAAATACGGAGAAACTATAATCCTCATAGGTACCCTTTATTTGTTATGAGTGTGGACACTGGCCTGTCATGGCGACATAGGCGTCTCGAGCAAAGAAAACTTTACAAAAATCTATCTCCCGAAATCTTTTGTTATTTTCCTGAATTCACAATTGTCGCATTGATCCACAAGTTCTCGCCAAATATTTTTTCCAAGGTACAAATGCTCTTAGGAGTTCCCTCATTGATAAGTACAGTATGGATCAAGTCTCATAAAACATAGCCTGTAGTTTTTAAATTTGTCCTCAAGTAGAATGTACTACATAGATGCTGAGTGCAATAGCAACTGTCGTGAGACATAAGTTCGTGTTACTTCACATGCCGTAGTATTACACTTATCGAGACTAATCGTTAAGTTTGATAGCGGTACTTTTATTACTGGTTACCATGCTGTTTGGAAGCCTTAATCGGTAATGGAAGTTTTTATACCTTCCGTAAGCTCTGTAGGTTACATGATCGTGGATGTCTTTTGAACGAAGCGATCTAGATAGTTGAAGCTTAAGAATATGCTTTTAAATTCCTTGGCGCAGTCTTCTCCCTAGAAGTGTTGAACTCTATTCTCTCCAGGAGGGGAGAGGGAGTAACACGAAACCTCTTTGGAATCGACTGTGGACACTTACGACTTCAGTGTGACTGTAGATTAACTCATGTTTTTAAAGCCAGTCGCCCTAATGTTTGTCATCTGTTTGCCTCATGGCCTTGGAAATTCGAACCCTTCTCTCTATTTCTTTTATTGATAACGTGAACGTGTGTAGCTCTACTTATCTTCTAATTCGACATGTCCATTGCTCTCAAGCCTACAGTTAGGAGTGATGACATTAGACCTATTATTGGACAAGTAACAGCCAAATTTCTTTACCTTCTCCCTCTTACTGTTCTAATCTTTTTGCCGGATATTTTTTTCCTAGACGT